TAATAATACATATATATATATGCCATCCAATAGTGCTACAAGTGGCTTTTCTACTGTCTTTGCTCCTATTTTTTTTTTAAAGCTAGGCGGTAGTGTTTCTTCAAATGCACCATCTTATCGAGCATGAAAAGGAAAAAGTGTATTCCACATGTTGAATTCTTTAATGGTTTCCCAATTATAAAGCTGAAGCTTTGTGGTTGGATATCCTCATCACGATAAAGAAGTGACACTTTATCAAACTCTTATCCCATCACACTGCTTGGTTTGCTCATGCATATATGGCTATATGTCACTTTCTTATATTCTGTTACAAACAACTTCACTAAACATGGGCAGAATAGTCATTTATCCAGCAACAGCTGCAAATAAGTCGTTCTGAATAAGCTTCCCTAAACAGCAAGCCAGTTTATCTTAATAATCTACAGATTATCAGATTATCAGGATAATCTGATAATCAGCAGATTATAAATAATCTACAGCTGCCCCAAACAGACCCTTAGTCTACATCATGTTTTTCTCAGCTATTCCAATTAGAAAAGAATTGTTTATGCCCACACATACATATACATGTATGTCTGAATATCTTCAAATAAAATAAGCTAATGTTTCAAAAGCCTAGGTGATAACAAGAGTTCACACATCTCTCCATCCACAGAGAGCATCTTATGATTCATATTGTATAATTCTAAATTTGAATTCAGTGAATTTAAAGCTTTCAAATCATGCATATCATTACATTCAAATTTTGATATGAAATGACATCATTTTGAATATATAAAGTATTATTGTCAATAGTAAATATAAAAAATCACAATGCTAATTTTAAATTTGAATGTATACAACACAATTATGAATTTAAAAAGTGCACAATTTTATTAAACACGAGTATGACATCCAGTATCTCATTTCCTATGCATTTGAATTCAAATTTTGAGTTTAATTACTAAACTTTATTAATTCATGCACGTGAAATGTAGAATTTAATGGGTACTTACATTTGATATATGAAATTTCAAATTTAAATTTATTAGCTAAACGTTTAATCACTTTTAAGTAAAGTCAGGCCCTATATAACACAACTAATAATTTCACTACATTTCTATTTTTGGCGCCTTTTGTAATAATAGAATAAATGGTCTACATGCCACAGTTTTGACTAAAATTTCAAGCACATTAAAAAAATAACTATCAAACCATCCATGTTATTGTTTTTAAATTTTAATCAATATTAAAAAAAAAAACTATAAGTAGCTTATTTAAGCACTTAACTATTAAATTGTTCATAACAACTATTTTATTTTAACAATTATATATACATAACTAATTTTTTACTTAGAAATTCATATTTTAATTCAAATTGAATCAATATATTATGATTTTAACTCAAGATAAAGCCCTTATTATATGTTAATACTTAAATTTATTTTTAATATCACATTACTTGTAAATTTTTACAGCAAGTTGAAATGTGCCCTCAAGCATTAATTCTTGGTTCTCAATTAATGTTCATGTTTCTTGTAGGGCTGTTAAAAAAGCTTGTTGTTCGCAAACAGCTCATATTTGGCTCGTTAAGTAGCTCGAGTTTGAATCATTCGTTAAGTAACACATGTTTGAATCGTTCTTTAAGTAGCTCATGTTTGAATTATTCGTTAAATAAATGAGTCGAACACAAATAAATTTTTTAAGCTCGAAATATAAATAAGCAGAATACAAACAACCCTCTATTCGATCATATTCAGTTAGTTTTAGCTTGAAACAAAGAAATTATATTATTATTTATATTATAATATATTACATAAATTTATATCTAAGTTTAAATAATAATAGCTAGTGTGTTCACATAATTTTACACCTATTACACAAAATCAATACAAGTTCAAATCCAACATCCTACATCTATTTTTTCTAATTAATTTTAAGGAGCCAATTTCGACTAAATACGAGCCGAACATGAACAAGAATATGTAAATTGACTCATACACGAACACACTATTCACAAGCAATTTCGAACACGAGCTAAAACCGAGCTGTCTCAAGCTCAATTTGCTTACCACCCCCCTAATAGTTTGGAAAAAAATACACAACAAAAAGAAAGATTACCAACTTAAAAACAAAGGATGTTTGGTTAAATGTCCAACCAGTGTTAGCTTTAAAATCCAAATTTGCAAACGTACAAAAAAAAATAAGAAAACAAAAAAAATAATAGATGTTTGGTTGGATGTTTTAGAAAATCCAAATACTTTAGAAACACACAATAATTAGAAAGCACAGGCTTAAAAATGCATGAGTTATTTTACTTCATGAAAATCAAATGAAATAAAACACCTTTTTTGTATGTTATAATACATAACAAGTGAAAGGGTTGTGGAGAGTGGTAAGCAAAGCGTGGAGACAATTATTGACCAAAAGCAAATGGCTATAACCAATAAAGATGACCAACGGTCATCTTGGGATGCAACAGTAGGAGCAAGTGGGCAAGAACAAGATGGTGATAAGCTGGGATGCAAAACAAGGATAGGAGAGCAACGATGGCGACAAATAATGAGGGCAGAGAGCCATGGCAACAACATGCACATTGGCAAGTAGTCAAGGGGAGTTCATATTCTGTGAGTTCTCCCCGCATCTATGATTTGATTGCTTTTGGAAAATTTCTAATTCATCATGAAAGACATTTTGGGGCATTCTAAATCTCCAAAACAAATGCAATGCATTTGATTTGTTTCAAATTAAACACCAACAATAAAAACCAAAAACCTTTCCCCCTTTTTTTACTGTTCAAACTCAAACATCCCTTATCGAAGAAAAAAATAAAATCAACATAAAAACCAAGTTCCAGCATTCCAAATCAACTAAAAAAAGCAAGAAATCTTTGAAAAAACTAAAATTAATGATAAAAAATGAGTAAACAACCATATGAAGCCAAATAAGTTCAAATGCCACCCAACATTCATGCCTCCAAACTCAAAAACAATAACACGAAAAATAGTTTGATTCAAGCTTACTTATCCTCTTAAACTTCTATTTATTTCCCATGTTTTCACCAGTTAATATCAAATTATATTTTAAACCAACCAAATGACAACTTATTTCTTAAACTGCAAAAGCTTATAGCTTACTATTGCGAGATATCTATACCAGTTGATATGGTATATATATATAGATATATATATATAAATGCAATGACAGTGAGCCAATTTGCTCATTGTCAAATGCTTGGAACATCTTCTGTTGATGCGAGTTCAGCAGAAAACAGTAACACAGCAAAACACACAGATTTACATGGTTCAGCAAATTGCGTACGTCTACAAAGTTGCAGAGGATTTTAATACTTGAGGAATTTACACCAGTCGATCACCTCGACTTACAAGAGGAATCTCTCACTTGTTGCTCACTTCTTCTCTCTCTGTTATTCTCTCTCTACACCGAGATACACCGAAAAAACTCTACACCAAGATATACCGAAGAAGATAAATTTACAAGAGAATTAAATTCAATTTCTCCTCTGTCACACGCCACCAAGAAGAAGTCAAGGGAGAACAATCTTCTTCTTTTTTTTCTTCTTCCTTCTACTGCAAAGAATTGCTGCTTGCACTTTACTTCCTCTATCCCGAGGAACCCCGAAGAACACCAAAATCTTGACTTTGTTAACTAAAAGAGAGTCATCTGAAACCTTTTATCGCGAACAAAAAGCGAGAGACGTTCGACGAAGCAAAGCTTTGCTTGCGCGCGCGGGAGCAGGCGGAGGCGGGAGCGGTTTTGCGATCGAGCAAGGAGGCGCGACGATCAGGCGAGAAGCTTCGCGAAACAAGTGGCGAGAGCAGAAGTCGGGTTGGGCAGACCGGGCTCCATACTTAACACTTACATTAGCTTAGGCGATGTGGTTGCAAGCAGGGTTTTAGCGTTAGTAGGATTTAGTAAATCTATTAAATCCACCTTCTCCCAAGATTTAGGGGGAGTTTGGTAGAGCTCTATTAATAGGGTTTATGACCAGGATTGACTAAATCTAGCCAGACACAAAAAAAACACAAGTTTCATGAATTTATGAAATTTCAGATTTAAGGTTTGAATTTTATATTTGATTCATGTTAAATCTGAATTTATAAATCTAGCAAGGCGGTAGAATTAATAAATCCAAATTTTGCTAAATCCTACTACCGTTAAATCCTTCCTGCAGCCAAACACTCCCTTAGTAAATCCTCTTAAGCGAGATTGAAGGCTAAATATAAGACCCTAAATCCGATAATTTATAAATCCACAAAACATATGCAATTTAGAATTTGGTTGGATTTAATGAATCTGGTGATAAATCCTACTAAAACACGCTACAAAACAGCTCCTCAGCTTCCTCACTTAGATAAATAGACAACCAGATTGGTCTCAATTTTCTGATACAAAGATAGTAAAATATGCTAGAAAAGCAAAGAAAGCATAGGGCAGTCATATGCATGCCACCCAATTCTTATATAGTTACATATATAACACTTAAACTTTACTTTTTACATTCATAACACCAAAACATGTTAAATATCACATCAAAAATACCACTATAGAAATAAACCTTGTCATGCATAGGTCCGGCGTCATACATGTAAAATTGAAATTTAGATGTTAGATATGTAAATACATAAAAATTAAGTGGCATGTATGTAAATATTCCAAAATTGGAAAAAAGAAAAATCTAAGGTAAGACTGAAAAAAAAAAGCTCGTGCGTATGCATTTATGGTTGAAAAATAGTGATATGTGCATTCAACGCTGAATGGTGGCCCCATTATCTATTATGCTGGCAGCATACTGGAGCATATTTACCCATATAGGAAATAAAGATCCTATCTAGATGAATGGAAAGTAACTATTAAATAAGAATAACACCTTCACAGTAAAAAAAAAATAAAAGTGTAAATACACATGGTAGCAACAGCAAATCAGACAAGCTAAACTTATGAAGCACGGCTTTCTCCATCAAAGTCCATATATATTTTTGTTAAGCACCTTAACAAAATCCAAGAGCAAAAAGTATAACTTGTTTCAAGCATAATAAAAATGTATCATTCTTTCCAAACAACATACAAGGTTAATAGCCGAAACAGCAGACCTACCTAAATCAAGCCAAATTCAAAGAAAACAAATCCATATCCTAGGACCCTCTAGGCCATCAAAAGAAAGCTTTAAAACAAAATAAAGTGCAGCTCGCAGATAGAACATCCCAGATCATAAAACAGTAAGTTTGACCTTAAGGGACAATAACCAAAATAGCATAGAGAGCAAGAGAGATTCACTAGCGTTTTGGCGCAGAGCACTCCCTTGCGAAATGCCCAACCTCACCGCAGTTATAGCATTCTCCTGCCCCGCCACCACCACCACCACCTCCACCTCCACTGCCATACCTCCCGCCTCCACCTCCACCACCATACCTCCCGCCGCCTCCACCACTGTTGTTG